ATCTTCCTGATGTACTGTGTCTGTCTGGCCTTCCTGATGCATTGTATCTGTCTGGTCTTCCTGCACAGACTGCTCGTCTTTGCCACCGTCATGCGCATCGGCTGCATCGCTGTCTGTGCGTCCAGAGTGCGCCTGCCCGTCCCTCAGGCCAGTCTCCGCAGTACCCTCGAGGTTATCTGTATTACTTTCTGGGTCGTGTGCGAATGGCAAGTCTGAGTTTTCTGCACTCCCCCCATCACTGGGAATGTCTGTATGTCCCTCTTGTAGGTCCCTACCGTCGACCACACCATCCGTCACTCCCTGATCCTCTCCCACCGTATCTCCCCAACCGGTGGTCCAATCAGAATCGTCCTTGGCCGTTGCCCAATCAGAATCGTTCTCAGCAACTGCCTCGCTACCAATCGCATCCGGCGACTCGGCAGTAGTCGCCATATCCGCACCAGCATTCACATTGCTCTCCCCACTCACCACCGTATGTCCCGCTACAGCTTCTGCCCCATTTTCCGGTCCTAAAGCAGTCGCGCTGGTGACACCTGCCCTTCCGTTATCGGGTGCATCGTGGACGACACTGTCCTGTGCTTCTGACATGGACTCGCGGTCGGGTTGGTTCTGTGATAGAATGAATAACAGCGGGTTCACTAATGTCGAAAGATCCAGAAAATTTATACCACAGGCACCTTGTCTAAAAACCCTAAACCCTAAACTGCTGGCCATTGCTGCACACTTGTCTTGTGTTCGTATCAATGAAGGTACATGCTGGCCAGTGTTAAGTACGAGCTGTGCTACGTTTGCAGATATCATAACCGCCACAGAGCTCAGCCACACAGACATCTACGGTGTTCCGAGTTAGAACCACAACGAATCAAAGACACACACATAACTCATCAAAGACACACACACAACCCTTCAAAGACACACAAACAGCTCATCTAACACACACACACATTCCTTCAAACACACGCACACAGCTAATCTAACACACACACAATCTATCAAAAACACACACAACCCATCAAAAATACACACACAACACACCCAACACACACACACAACTCCC